ATGGTCAAGAAAGCTACGGGACAAAGTAGGGATACCCCTCCCGATCTGCTGAGTCGCCCCTTGACGTTCACGCTCGCCGCGAACGTGGTGCAAAGAGACACGAACGTCTCTGAGGTGAGATACGTGGACGTGGACTGTCTATACGCCGCGTCGGCTCTCTCCGCGCACTCGAAGAAGATGCTACCGGCAATGAGCGGCGTGATCCGAAAGTGCGCCGAGGAATGGGGAACCTATTTTTCACCTACGTTTGCCAGCGCAGAACTAATAATGTTAGCCAAGGGAGACTTTACCGAAGAGATGGCCATTCGATTCGACGACCACTGCCAGATGGCGTGGAACTGCGTTTTTCCCATGCGGCAAGATACGAAAGACTTGGTCCGTCAGTATGTGAACACGGTGAACGAAGTCAGGTACCTGGAGAAACACGGTCAGGTCAAGTTATTGCTACAACACTACGTTGCCGAAGAATTTGCGCGAGGCGTTGGGGTTTGGATAGACTTGGGTTATTCGAACTATCAACCGAGTAGCATCAACCACCTGTTTACTCGAACGTCCACCGCTCTGAGCGTAGCGACCAAGAAATCCGCCGTGTTTTATCCGATCGGACAAAACGCGACCACGAGAATGCTGAAATCAGCCCGTCGCACAAACATTCCGATGCAAGGACAATACCTCTCGTACGACGACGACACTCCCTTCGTTACCGCGCACGACGATAGGGTCTTTACGGTGGATCGTCACAGAGTGCGCTGGGGAGTCTTCAACCGACAGCGAGCTCCGTTCATGCCCCTCTTCCTAAAGTGTAAAAACAGTTACGTTCTGCTCTCCAAGCTATTGTACTCCCGGAAAGAGACGAAAGCAAGCGAATGGTATAGCTCTTTAATAGGGGCGGGCGAAGCCATAGACGAAAGTAAGATCACCAAGGAGGATACCGACGACCATATTACGAAGATTGTAAAATCTGTCGTGCTCGCTCTAGTGAAAGAGTTCCAAACTGCTCCTATCAGGAGCACAATTGATCTATGTAATAGATTCGACGAGGTGGTCGTGAATAGACCGAGCTCGGAGGTGTCGTTTCCTGCGATACTAGATCTCTTTAAAAGAATATATGGTAGGAACTCCTTGTATTTGAAATTGCACGTACCGGAGAAAGATGTAGAATGGATAATGGGCACAATGCCAATGTGTGACAAATATGCGAAAAGCACGAACCGTGATTTGAAGTTGGGCCAAACGGGCACCGTAGAGACTAGCGTCTTTGCACTCGAATCGTTAGAGAGATTGATATTAACGGGCTATTATTCGTACGAGAATTTCGGAGAAAAAGTCAAAGTAGCTTATAAGGAGTTGTACGGAAAAGACTTGGACATTTTCGATATGCCAAACATAACTCCAAAGGTTACGATAACGCCACCAGCACCGCCACAAAAAGTACCAACCGTAGTGCTCAGGGAAGACATCAAGCCTCTAGTGATCAAATATTTTTCCACCGACACTTTGCAAGACCTCAACGACTTGTGGACAGTGTACGAACTCTACTCGCTACCGTTTGCGAGCACGTTGGAATGGTTGTTGACGGCGGCCGACACTTACGGCTACACGAACTGCGCGGCAATGTCGCCCTGGGTAAAGTTGGCCGGATGCGCGGCACTGTCCGCCGGCCTATTGTACGATCACCCCGAAACGTGGGGCATCTACCCTCCACAGGAACGCTTGAACGTAAACTACGATTCGACCGAAGTGGTGGAACTAGTTTTAGATTCTACTACGGGACTTAAAATAAAGTTGGACTCGCAACTGTGTAGCACCGTAAAGAGCCTGATGGACAACACTAGGAAATACATGTTGGAGACGACTCTGAGAGACCTATCGACTGCCGTACCGTCCGCTCCACCGGTACAACTTTATTCGCTGGATCAATACTTGAAGAACGAAGATTGGTTCTTGACGCACATGGGCAACGCTTTTACAAACTACCTAAACCGCGTCAACGTGGAGTTGTTCACTAGCCAGGCCTGGGACGAGTCGGTGGCCGCCTTCCTGCGAATAAACACCACGAAGATCGTTCCCTGTACTCAAAACGTCATACGCCGCTCCTTTATGAGCAGGGGCGTGTCGCGCGCCGTGGCTTACGGCATGCCGCTCGGATACAGAGTGTCTTTGCCGGCGTCGCTAAACGGCAGCACGCCGGGTCAGGTGAAACCCGTGATGTTCAGGGTGGGTTTCGTTCCTTCTAGCGTCAAGGAAGCCTACCTGGAAGACCTAAAAGAGAGACACGGGTCGGGTCCGTACGAAGCGGTCGCCGAAGCGTTCGGCCAGATCCCAAACGTCATGCGCCTAGTGGTTCCTCTACAGACGGAGGGCGGCCACGTGGAAGACCTGATTCGCTGCGGCTACCGACTCGTCTTGCACAACGGTTCGCTGGACCTGGACGACGACGTGGTCAGAGCCGCGGCCGTCTACAGACATTCTCCGCAACTGGTGAAAGAGTGGAAAGTCGCCAAGGCGGACACTTGGGGCACCCCCGACAAGGAAGAGTTTCTCTCCGAATTTTACCTGAGCGCCGAGGAGATATTCGCTCGCCTACCCAAACTCGCGCGCTCGGCACTGGCACTTACACCCGACCTACACAGGCGAGCGAGCCACCGACTCGTGGTCGACGACGCCAACGTTGTAGTGGTGGCACCAGTGACCGACAAGGCGGACGCTCTGTCCCAGTACGTAAACACCATAGAGCAGCGCTTCTCCAACTGGCTGCGTAACAACAACATTCGCGCTAACAACGCCGCGTGTCCTCGCAACTATTCCAAGGTCGTGATTCCGCTGTACGCCGAAATCTTACACAAGGCCCATCGTCTGGCGATGGAACGAACAGTCCCACCCGACTCTCTCCTGGCCGACAAGTACCGCGTCGAGCGGATGAAGTCGGTCAAGAGGCTGTTGTTCGAAGAGGCCGTCCTGTCTCACCAAAAGCGCCGCCGACTGACCGACACCGAAGAGGCGCACGTTCTGGTGACGTCCGCCCGCAACCCGATCGATCACGACTTTATGAACCCTTTGGAATTGATCCGAGCACACTACATGGAGATTGCGGCGGCCTGTTTCGAGTACGTGTCGCGCACTCCGCTAGAGATTAACAAAATCTCGCCGGGATACGCCGTCTACGAGCATCCCGGCTACCCGCGCCACACGAGGGCGGACGTGGTTCGCAAGATCCTCGTCGAGACCAAGGACGTCCCCGGCGTCGTGTTCGACTTTCTGAACGCCTTCTGCAAGCCCGAGGTGAATGCCTACGTCTACGTTCGCAATTCCATCGACGGCCTCGAAAGAGTCGACCTGAGCACCACACAAAAGCTCATGCACGTGTTGCAGAGGCGCCTGGACGAGTACCGCGCTCTACCCGGTATCGATAGAGAGCGGGTCGTCAACGGTCTGGAAAAGTTTGGGCTACCCGAGTACGGCATTCACGCTCCGTTGCACACAAACGGGCAGACCGGGTGTTTAGATATTGAAAAGACCAGAGACGAATTGGTATGCAGACTCAACAATTTATTTTGAGAGTTCGAGATACTTTCCCTTTTCGAGTACGGAGACTCCGCGGGGCATGCACTTGTCCACCCGCATTTTCAGATAGCAATCGGCTCCGGGCGGTAGTAGATTCGGAATCCACTCGGTGTTTATCTCCGTCAAGAGTTGGTTCCAGTCAATCTCTCGGAGCTGGGGAGAGGAAAACAAAATAGAGTCGGTGTCGGTATACACGACTCGGAGATGCTTCAGTCGCTCCCCCATCGTCGCGACGCACTTTAGCAGCGTCCTAGACAGCCGGCACGTTGCGGCCAGGACCGACCTGTTTTGGAGGCACTTCATTCTGCCGATCGAGTGGTTGTAACTGCCCATGCATCCGATGGCCGAGTTGCACATCTTCTTCAACATCCTCTTCATACCCGGGTTCTCCTTCAAGAGCTCGTAGGCCGACTTGAGAAGACACTCGGACACGCTCCGAAATCGCGTAGAGTCGATCTCTGTAAACTGTACGAGCACGGACGGATACATTGAACAAAAATCGTACAGGACGCAAGGGCCGTCGTCGTACCGACCGACCGCGGCAAACTTGTAGCCCCCCCTGTATTCCATGCACCTGTCCCAGGTCCGCCCCTCGAACGTGTCCCACGCACACGCGGATGCAGAACACGTCCTTACGGCGTGGCAGACGTAGTCGTAGGGTAGCGGGGCCTCTTCATCCAGTGTCAGTCCGTAGCGGTCTCGAAGCTGGCTCGCAATTTTTGCAACAGCGTCTTCGCACGCAGCATCGACGGTGACGAACGGATCCACCCAGGCCTCGTCTGCGTTCCGCATGGCCGCGCACTGCACCACGGACGCGACCAGCAACCTGCTCGCAAACTCTTCGTCCTCGATTCCGCCCAACGAGTCCAAGAGAATCTTGAGCCGCTCCTTCAGACCACCAGCACCTTCCGAGTCCAAGGAGAAGAGTTGCGGCACGTAGGGCACCACCTGCACCGCGTACTTCCGAAAGAGCGCCTCCGAAGCCTCCCCGCGGTGAACCGACCAGAGCTCCAACACCACCCCCGTCAGTGGACGTCGGTAGCCACACACCGTTCCGTGGTAGCAGAGTGTCCTCGGCGCCACTTCCTTGAGACAGGACGAGGGGAACACTTTGGAAGCCAGCGTAAAGTAGACGCGGCCGAGATCTTCTCGGTGTAGGGCCGAGGCAAAGTCTAGACCGCAAGCCTCCGCTAAACCCAGAGTCTTGTAGAGGGCCACGCCGAAGTAGTAGACGTGAAGACTCCCCTCGACGCGTTTGGCACACTTGTTCTCGACCAGCGCGTCCGCGAGGAACGCGGTGCAAGCCGGCACTCGGACGTTGAAGAGGGACATGCTCGTGGGTATCTGGATGCCGTCCGTCGTCGTGAAAGCCTTTGAATTGAATTTTGACCATCGCGAAGCCTCCGTCGATCGTAAGAGGTCCAGTTGTCGATCCGTCATCGCGTCATAACTGGGGTCAGGACAATGATCCTGTTACTTGCGCGCCCCCACTCGTACAACGCCAGGATGGCCTCGTGGCGGTGGGTGAAGTCGGACCCGAGTCCGGCCTGCTGTAGCACCTTCCGCAGAGCGGTTATGGTCATGTTTGCCAGCTTTGCGCCTTTTATGAGCTTCTTGTAGGACGTTGCGTAATGCGGCAAGTTATCAATCTTGTTCGAGATGACGTACCTGTTTACAACGTGACGTCTGATGTTATCGACGAGCGCGTCGCCCGTCAAGGTCACGTCCAGTACCGATAGAAAAATCTCGCCCGGACCGAAGGAGGTGGATCGCATAAAGTCCTTGACGATTCGTATGTTCTTGGTCGTCTTTACTCGCTTGTCGAATAAATATTGCCGCATGGCTTGCTTCTGGACAATCTTGTACCTGTTGATGGAGTCGTCAATGAGGCACATGCCTATTCCGGTAATGTTGTACGAGTACTTTGACGACGCAAAGCGCGATGTGGCGGCCAAGAGTTTGTCGATCTCGCTCTCGTCTGCGGAAGGCTCGCTCTTGCGGTTGTCGTCGTTGTTGGTCGCGTACAGCGCCAGCAGGTTCGAGAGTCTACCGTCTGCGGTGGCCGGAGAAAGGGGGGTGTCTCGAATCATTCTGACCATGGCTCTCCGAATCACGTTCTCCCTGTCGACGGCCTTGCCGCGTCTCGTGGCATAGTGCTGGCCGTTGTACATGTACACCTTGACCACGGCCGAGTCCACGTTGCTGTGCGAGCCGAGTCTCGAGACGCGGCCCAGCGCCTGAAACATGGTCGCACACTCGTAGGTGGGGAATCCACCGATGATGTGCATGTGCTTGACGTTCTTGAGCGTGTGGCCTTCGCAGAAAAAGAAATTGGTCACCATGATCACCGAGGAGGTAAAGTTGTTGTACATGTCGCGTAGCTTCGTCAGGTACCAGGCGGGGTCCCCTGGCACGACGAATATGATGGTCATGTTTTTCCAGACAAACTTTCGGGCCGTCGTTTTGCTCTCGTGCTTGCCGTTGTTCATGATGGTCAAAATGTTTTCTCTAATGTCGTAGCGGTACGAAACGACAAAGTGCTTGTCCTTGGGACGCTTCACAATCTCGTCAAAGACTCGCTTGACGACGCAGTGAATGTCGTCGCAGGTCTCCCGTTTGCAGTCGCAGCCGATTGCGGGGAAGTCGTCTTCGCTCAGAGGGTAGCGCACGTCCACCACGTTGGGCACGGTGTAACTCCCGTCGTCCCTGACCACGTGGAGAGACGTCTTGTAAATCTTTTTGAGAAACTTGCTTCGGAACGACCATCCGAATGCTAAAGTATCTCTCGGCGTCCTCGACCGTCTTTATGCCCTGGTCGAAGGTGGTGACCCACTGGAGCAGCTCGCCTTCGAATTTTGTAAAAAACGGGGTGGCCGTGCTGCACACAAATATCCGGTCGCGAGTCTCGTGCGCCAGCTTATGGACGGTGTTGCGAGCGTGCACCTTGTAGCTCCTCTTGCGCTCGTCCACCGCTACGAGAGGGGAAAGACGGTGGTTTCTTGCTTAGACCGTAGTGTGGATGTGCAAGCCGCCTGTAAACTGTCTTTCGCGAAGGAGCCTTGTAGATGTCGGTCCCAATAACTCGTTGGTATTCGCGCTCGGTGTCGGTAAGGAGCGCGGACCGGGGCACCACGACGACGACCTTTGTTATAAAACCGCTATCGAGAAGATATCTCATCACGAGAGCACCTTTCCTCGTCTTGCCGGAACTCGTCGGATAGAGCAAAAACAATTCCCGGATATAGTTGTCGCTCAGGAATGGAGCTATAATGTGATCCAGATCGTCGTTCTCGTTCGTGGCACTCATCCCGACTGAGAATGAATCTTCCGACAAACAAGTTGTTTCGCTACGCCCTTTGGGACGCCGGCACGTCGGTGGAATCGGCGGCCAGGGCGGGCGGTGTGTCGACGCAGCTGGTCGAGGCCTTTAGAGACAAATACGGCACGTTCCGGTCACTGCAATCGCTCTACGAGCTCTGTCTCGCCTATCTGGACGACTTGCTCGCAAATAGGAAGACCAGGGACGAGGAGGTGTTTATAAATTTCACGTTCGTCGTGCCCGACGCCTATCACGAGTTGTCTGCATTCGATCGGCGCCGAATCGTAAAGTGCGAACTGGACATGTACCTCACTCACGCAAAGGACAACGAGGTCATGTCCGTCGAGACATCGTCGACGTCGGTGGTGACGGCGCGATACGTCACCGAGTGGGAGGTGTTCGCCATTAAGGGGCTGCAAATTTATCGAAACTAGTATAATAAAAAATGCCGCATTCGAACCGTTATTCGTCCGTTTCGATCGCAAATACGATAGTGAGTGAATATGAGGAGGACATTAACAGCAGCATGTACCCGCAGATTCACGTCAACGACGTGTGGCGAGAGAGAGACTTGGAGTTTAACGAAAACGGGCACATTGTGCTCTTCAAGAACGAGACGTTCCGAGCGCTGCTCTGGAACCCCAACGTGAACGTAGAGGCCATAGCGGACACGCCCAGGTTGCAACACATCTGCACCAAACTCCGCATGGCGTATCTGAAAGAGTGCACCAATACGGTGACCAAACGAGGCGCCACAAACACCATCATGTCCTTTATTCTGGACATATGCAACAATTCGAGCGGAACCGACATCAACATCGACGGCTTCTCCTGCCACGTCCCCTACGACTTTCAGCACCTCAACACGACCGACAAAATGAATCTGGTGGAATTTTTCTGCAAGCTGTACGGCGTGTACTGCGTGGACAACAGATACATTACCAGTGTCGGCGAGATGACGGACCCGGACTTTGTCGTCGGAGACTTTGTGGACAACTGGGAGGTGTTTATGCTAAAGACGTACCGGATCCTTCAGACAAAGACCAACATCAAGGCCGTGCCTCCGAAAATTGAAGGGGAGGTCACTGCCACCGAATGGAACCACAAGACCAGAGCTCCGTTCATCGATCAGAAGACTCGTCTCGTTACCTGGTCGCGTTGCATCTTGCGACCGTCTCGTTACCTCGTTACGGTCGCAAGATGCAACGCGTTAGGGACAAGACGTGGCTCGTGTCTCCGATGGACGCCGAATACGCCATGCCCCACGTATTTGAAAACACCTTCGGTTCGATCCCATACGAGATGCTCATCGATCCCAACAGCGCCGAGTCGACGCCTGCCAAATCCGTGGAGGTCGACGACAACGGGAATCCCGTCGACGACAAATCCAGTCCTCCCCCGGCGGAACCCGACGACAATGGCCGCGACGGCGTGTCCTGGCTCATTGGTAGCATGCTGTCCGGCAGCGCACTCGGAGCGATGGTAATTTACGGATACCGCAAACGTTGATCGATAATAAAGACAAAGACGAGAAGTTTCAAAGAGTGTAAATTTATTTAGCCACGAGAGATTGCATGTACATGTGATAAACGGCAACCCCAAAAACGCTGAGCATGATGACTATCAGGCACGACGAGGCTTGCAAAAGGCCCGACTGACGGATTGAACACTCTGGTTTCATGACCGCCGAGGATATCGGTGCAATCAACATAAAGAAAAGACCTCCGATGCAAAGTATGGTACCGAGTACGCCTCGAAACATGTAGTTGCCGTCGGTGAGGCCGTGCATTACTCCGGCGACCCAACCGGTATAACCCAGGATGCAAAAGATCCAAAAGAGCAACTTCATGCGGGCGTAGTAGCGTTCCTTTTCCATCTTGCTCGCAGACACTTCGTCTCTTCCCTTCTTGGATTTCTTGTTCTTTGCGGCCTCGAAGGCTTTCATGAGCGAGTTTCGCTTTTCGTCGCTCTTGCTAGACCTCGGAACGCTCCTGCTCGGGTCTTGACGGCGGTCGTACCGATCGTTCGTCGAAGCGGACATTTTTATTTACCAATGGAACCAAAGATCGTGTCTCTCGGGCGCTACGCTCGCTCGCCGACCGTACGTATCGGCCATGTGCTTGATGGCCACCTGTTCGTGGTAAGGGTAGCGCTCCGCGCCAGCGACGGCGTCGTAGCCCGATGGCAATTTACTGTACGGTTTGGTTTTGTCCGCCAGCAAGGCGCTCCTCCTTTGCAAGACATCTCGCGAAACGCACGACCTAAATAGGTAACATCCAAACAGGAAGCTGGCTACCGTCGAAAGAAGCGCCACGGGGACTGTGCTCATGATTATTTTGTTATTGAATACAAAAATGACGACCGTACGTATCGGTTTAATGATTGCGCTACTCGTGGCGCCGTCGTTGGTGGCCTCCAAATCAGACGCCAATAAAAAATTGCCCTACTGCCAGAGTCTGCTCAAGGTCGCCAACGTTCGCTCAAAGATACTCAAAGTGAACAAGACGAGTTACGCCGTACTGTACACGTGCGACAAGAACGACACTCTGTACGGCGGACCGCCCCTAGTGTACTGTCAAAAGCCGAAAAAGATGGTGGATGACGCATCGGGCGAGAAGCGCGAGTGCCTCTCGGTGAGCAACGAATACGCCGAGTGGCTACCCGCTCTCATCGGAATCGTAGGACTCCTCGGCCACGGCGGCGGAGGTGCTCTATGCTATAAACAGTACAAGAGGTAATTGTTAAATAAAATAATAACGATGCGTATTCTCGTCCTCGTAACTTTATGTAGTTCCATAGTGTTGGCGCGCTACGACTTGAGCGCCGACATACGCAATTCCGTAAACGACCCATCCTACGGGAGCCCGCAGTTGATATACACCTACGTGATCAAGAACGACGAAGCCATCAGCACGCTCACCAACCGCGAACTGGCTGCCGTGGTGAAACTCGCCGCCGAACTCTTGAACGGCCACATCTTTTGCGGCTCCAATCTTCGAGTCATGGAATACAATTCGTCTCTCGACGCTCTGCCCGACAGGCGGAACCAGCTACACATCAAAAGGCCCTTTCCGATATCCTTTCAACTGGGAGAGTACCTTTCCTCGACCGAAAACGGCTTCTACACCGAACCGCACCTCTCGACCAAGGATAACTACCTAGACGGGCGACCCGGTCTGCGAAAGTGCCTATACGACTTTAGTAGCATTCAGTACGGGAGCCGAGACGCTCTGGCACACGCCGTGTACGACAAGCTGATCCACATAAACACGCTAAAGGTCGTAAATGCCTCGGCGGACACCATATTACACACGGTGTTACACGAGTTGGCCCACGCCGTGGGTTTTCAGCATTTGAAGAATGCGTCGTATTTCATGTACCCTTCCACGCCGGGATACGGGGGCAGTTTGCCCTACTCACAGTGGTACGAATCTTACAATCGGTTCTTTACATCGAACGAAGTATCCGTGATGAGGGATCGCTCGAGCAGATACAACGACTCTGCAATAATGTACGGCGGTTGGCTCGGGCACCAATGTCGCTCGCGCGACATCGACACGGACATTCAGGAAGCGCTCTCAGAGGCCAAGCAGACGGTCGCTCAAAGCGGCTATAGCTTCGATCGCGACTACAAGTATTTTATGGACGTTCTCCGGACTCTCAGAATTCAAGACGCCTCTGCGATTGCGCACTCTCAGGTTTCCGGTCTACACAGAACGCACACGCTCATGAGCGAGGCCATGTTGCAGAGGGAACTGGCGGGCATTCGCGGCAGACCAGTCATCTTAAATTTCTTCAACGACAGCCTGATTATTCCCTCGTACAACTGGGACACGAAGCGTTTCATTTTCGCCGCAGAGGACGGTACATGTTGGGGGGTCACGGACCTGACTAACGACATGTGGCGTCTCAAGATGGCCATCACCGACCCGTCTCACGGGCGTCTCGTGTTTTCGGCGGACGAAAACTACTATCGAGTAGGGGTATCCTTTAAAAATTTTGTTCACAGCAAGGCCATAATGGTCGACGGGCAAGAAACCAACCTGTCTCAGTACATCGATAGTTTGAATCCCTACGAAAATTACGGTTACGCGTTCTACTTTCAAGACGCCAAGACCATCCACAACTACCCCTTACCCGACGAGCCCTTCAACCGTACCATGTGGGAATCGTCGCTCGACGGCTCCAAGTGCAACGATCGCGCCTCCGTCTACATGTTCATGTACGACGGCAAAGCTTATACGGTGACCGAGGACAACTACGTACACAGCGGCTGCGGCGGTTCCGCGGCCACCAATCAACTCGGCATGAGCGTCGAGACATTCATCGTCACGCACATTTGCGACGATAGCATACACGATACCGATCCGCAGAGAGATGTGCAGAAAGCCGAGAGTGAAGCAGACATAACCGATAACGACTCGAACGGCAACCCCGAAAGCGACGACGATGAGTCTCCCGATCTGATCGACTTTGGTTGGTACACGGGCGTGGGAGTCGTGAGCGCACTGTTTATAGGCGTCACCGCCTACTGCGGCACTCTAATCATCCGCGATCCGAAAAAATACGCCGAAAGATATAGTACGGTTTAGGTTACAATTTTGCTCAACACATTAAAGATGCAGTCTTTTCTACCCTATCCCGTCGTCCCTTTTTCTCGTCAGACGTTTCGTCGGGCGCTTCGTCTTCCATTGTGGTA